GACTTAGCGGAGGACACGAACAAGATGAGCCTGACGAAAAAAGGTTGAAGACATCTCAGAAGCGTTAGTCTGGGCCTATAGCCCGTGTAATCTATACAAAGTCAGCTTTTGTGAAACCGTAAGATCTTGATCCTAAACTTTAGTACTCCGTTGTGCTTAAGATTAATTTCTTAGGTATTAGATTAGAGAACAGTGGTCGACATTTTTCTTCGAACCCAACACTAGTCAACCCTCCTGCCTTGACCTCTTTTGAGGCCCATTATACATTTACACACTCTTTGGTATACTGAGATGTGTACTACCTAAGAGAATCTCTGTCCCACTACCGCATGTTAATGATGGTCAAGTACATTTTTTATGCTTACGTGTGCTAGAGAGATGATTGAAGAACATCAAGCTGAAATCTCAGAAGTCCTTTACAGATCCTGGTGAGAGTTGATGGAACAAGTAATAAGCAGGTCCATTTAGTATAGCCAGGAATGTCAGTCAACAAACTGGGTCATTGTATTTATGCAGTACAACCATATCTTCAAAAACCTCAATTGTCGAACCGGGTCTAAGGACCCATTGTAGGACAGGTGTTAGCTCCCTAAATCCATGAGGCATATCTTCGTCGAGCACCTCATCCGCAAATGGATGCCCATGAAGCCTGGGATCATAGTGTCCCTCAATCTTTTTTTTGAAGCTCATGTAGGTGGGATACCATGCGTTCTAGGGTCGGGTCTCGTAGAGCTTCTAAAACAACACTTAGAAATTAATAGATCACCGGGCTCGTCCTCCCCCCACCTTGATACCACAAGTCGTTCCGCAGGTCGCTATATGACTTCCAACATGCGCGAACAGGTTAGGTGCGCACTGTCACTGATTGCACGATCATTAACTCCCATTTTGTCTGGGTCACTAACCAACGTTAACGCTGATTCCCGCTAGCAGCCACCCTAGAGGTGGGCTCGACCCCAAAGGTTGTTTTCCCAACAAGTTGTCGCCGTAACCTTTCTGCATGCCATTATCATCGTTTGTACCTTCTTTTAAAATGTAGTAGAACTATGTCTTCCCACATACGATGCTAATTCGAGAGAAATATACCAAATAACTCATGTTTAAGTAGCCAGATCTTTAGATCTCCGAATCGTGTTTGACCCTCTCGTCTGAGTACCTAAAAAACGTTGGGAGAGTTCTCGGTGTAGATCCTTCGATGATAAAGATAGTCCCTCGTTTATAATGTGTATATGATAATGAAAAAAACGTCCCCAAACAGGTATACCTCCACCTTCACAGGAGAACAATTACCTTGTC